TGTAGATATTAAAGAGGAGAGGGCCAAGAACTGGGGGACGCCAGACTTGACAGTGCGGGGACTGGAGGAGAAACTGTTAGAGGCAACACAGTGGAGATGGTGAGAGAGATAGGAATCGAACCAGGCAAGGGCAGGTCCGTGAAGATTAAGTAAGGAGGAGAGGTGGTGTATGAGGATGGAGTGGTCGACAGTGTCAAAGGTGGCAGAGAGGCCAAGGAGGACAAGGAGGCAGAGAGAGCCCTGATCGTCCTCCTGACGTGAAAGGCGCTTTATAAATGGAATCTTGTTGTTGTTGTTGTTGTTGTTCAGAATGTCATTAGTGATTTTGTCCTATGAGCTGTTTCTGTTCTGTGGGCAGCGCGGAAGTCAGATTGGAGGAGTTCAAAAAGGGAATGGCGAGTAGAGAAAGGAGCGGAGCTGGGAAGTGACGACTCGTCCCAGGACCTTGGAGAGGAATGGGAGGTTAGAGATGGGGCGGTAAAGACCAACACAGTAAAGACCACAGTTATTTCATATAGTTTTATGTCTTTTCACTTTGCACTGGGGCGCAAATGCAGACTTCTGACTGCCAGTTTGGGGTATCCATGTCTCCAATCCTTCACAATCTGTTGCAACCACATTACTTGACTGATGAGATCTCAGCTGTAGCACAGCTATAAAGCATGAAGGAGGGAACCAAAGGTTGAGAACAATTAAAAGAGGTTAATTAGGTAGGCTGGTCCCAAGATTCACTGGCATTCGCCAGTCACAATCTCTACGGTTAAACCTGGATGTGTCAGCAGCTGCTGTAAATATGTATATCAAGCAAAAGTATGAACTATATTTCTTTGCAAATGCTTTTTACTTATAAAAAATATGTGTACGTAAATAAACTCAAAGTTAAAAGGGTTAAATTCATTATACCTTCATATAATTCTCATATAATAGTTTGGGACATGACATGTGCATATGTCTACCAGGATGGTGGAGGGCAAACTGGTTGGACCTTGGTCTTTTTTTTGCATGGAAATTCTTATGGTTCTTATGTTCTGAAATCCAAATTTTCTGGTCCCACTCTTTCTTTAGCTCCATTTTTCTAAAGCTTTACGTGCAATTTTCTTCCCTTCCTTGGCTAAAGATCTTTAAGGAAAAACGTAGCTGTTGTCTCAAGAGATGTAAAACAATTGGGTGGTGGCAATGCTTCAATGGGTCCTATGAGAAGAGATTACAAATGGTCCCTGCAAAGTTGCCTGGATTGTTTACTCTGCAGCCCACCTCTTTCATTCATCTGCCTTTGTTACCCTCTTGACTGTATGTTCATAATATGATTCAATGATACCAAATTGTCCAAAATACAACAGGAAGCATGTGAGAGTTAATTTTCTGCTGAGAAAGCATAATACAGAATAGAGTTGGTGTCTCTGCTTACCCCAAGTATTTCCTACTGGGAAGTAAAATACATTTATTCAAATATTTTAACTCATTGCCAAGGGAATTCAAGTGTAAAACACCTGAAATGATTCCTGCCAGCAGTGATTATGAGCTTTGACTTCAAATATGCTTTGGGCCAGATAGTTTACATTTCAATAAAATGGCTGTAGCTTCAGCAAAACACAAAGTTGCTGCACTGAGCCACTTTTAAATGCTTGGAGGGGCACTCAATGGCTTTAATGGTGCTTTCAGAAAAAATGTTTCTGATCAATATTCTCCCCTTCCTTTCCTCCCCAAGGTATTCGATCTATTCCTTTTCATGTGGTATGGTTCCCCAGGTATCAGGACCTCCTTCAAGTGGTCATTATTCACTGAGTGAGTTATTCAACCTCATTGGATGCTCCATCCAAAGCTAACTGATCTCCAATGGGGAAGGAATTCCATCCTGGAGTCCCTTGAACTCTCTCACTTCCACCCCTATTTCAAGGCACGTTTGAACATATTTAACCACCCTTTTGGTCATCATTTCCCTCCCAACCCCCTCAACCCCCATCCACAGCTCAGGTGCTCATCCAGCAATTTGTTAAGCACTTTATGGTGTCTTCCTGATGTGAAAGCTGCTATATAAATTTAAATTGTATTGAATGATTGAAGCTATGAGTTCCAGTTTGTGTAGCTCATGTATTCGTTGGATAAACACACCAGGCCATTTGGAGACAAAACATTGCTTTATAATTTGTTATATATTATATTGGAGCAGGTGAAGATTATATTTTCCTTAGCCCTACTTCACATGAAAGAGTCACTGGCATGATAAGCAGAGAGCAGGGATGCCAGGAACTAATTGGGCAGTAATCTTACCGCCCACACAAACGTCAGCCCTCGTAGAATGTCACAGATCTGAATTATCTGCTTCTGTGAAGTCTAGCCATAAATTTTTATTTGCACAAAGCCATCTGTTGAATCGTTGACTATTACGGGTGATATTATGAGTTCAATTATAAGTGGTTTTGACAATCTGGCAGTGTAGTCATGACCCACGACATCCAACCATATCCTTGTCCAGCTGCCAAAGAAAGATTGGTATTCATCAAAAGGGACAGACATAGAAGACAGGTGCTGAGATCCAGACATTAATGACTTGACAAGCAGCCCTATTGCCAGTTCATGCTCCTGCAAACCTGTTATGTTAGTACAGAATTGGCAAGGATAGGAATTAACGACCACACTATTCTGCACACTTCTCTGTTATCACATTCCAGCTATTGTATACCATCACAACGTTTATAATAGGAAGCCTTTCCTGTGACAGATATGTAAGGTAAGTGCATAGCTCCAGCAGGTTGAACCCGATATTTTTGATGGAACATGATGTTTGATGAAATTCAGTTCCCCAGAATAGCCTGCTTTGAAATCATTTCCCTTGCGCCCAAGTTGCTCATCCACAAAAGCGGCTGGAGCTATAATAAAGTAATAATAGTCATTGCATTTGATATAGTGCCTTTCAGGTCAGGAGGATGTTGCAAAGTGCTTAACAGGATATATTGCAAAGTGGAGTGACTGTGTGTTTTGTGGGTGAAAGCTGCAGTCAATTGGTGCACAACAATGTTTGTCTGACAGCCATGGAATGAATGATCAATTTTTTTATTTGGAGGATTGTTAGCCAGGACACAAGAAGAAACTCCCTTCAAATAGTGCCATAGCATCTTTAGGGTCCACCTAAACAGGCAGACAGGGCTACGGTTTAACCCATAAATGTGCATCACAAACATTTTCTGGGTCTTTTTATAATAATGCTGATTTCTTTTATAAAATATTTCCTCAGTTTTTTTTAGTGATATCTTGACCATCAGTCTTCCAGGTTAACTGGTCATTCATAGCATGACTGTTTGCGGTACCTTATTGTGTGCAAATGGAGTTTTACTGCCTACAAGTACACAGTGACTGTACTTGACAGCAATTCCATGAAACTCTTTGGGAAGTTTCTCCATTAGAAACCAAATGTAAGTTTTTTTTTAATGTTTGTGTTTCAAAGCACATAAAACACAATTGGCCTGTCATTTTATCAATCAAGTTATTGTATAATTGCCTATTCATGGATAGAATAAAATTTTTTGTAATCATGTAGTCTTTCAAAGTTTTTGTCTCTCTTTGTTATTCATTAGTGAAGCAAGGCGACACTAGTACAATGACTGAAATAACACTCATGTGTCGGTGTCCTCTAGAAATATAAAATTCACAGCATGATGCTGCATTGTTGCCTTGGCCACGGTTTCTTTCCGCTTCCAATTCTCTGCACTCCTATTTTGAAAGCACTGACTCGGTCACTCCCCAGCATATCTCTATATATGAGCCTGGATCGTGTCTTGGCATGTTATTTGACTGGAAGGCATCACAGCTGAGCTCAATTTTATCCTCACATCTGTGTTCTCTCCATTAGGAGTCACTGAAGCAGGAACTCTGGCTGTTTTTTCCTCCCTGGCCCATTCAGCCAACGGCAATCATAATGCCTCCTATTGCCTTCCTAGCTGCAATCAATTAACTGTACTAGAAATTGAACCTGAGACCTTCATAGGAACAATATTCTGGTGAACAAATGGGACTGGAGTAAAAGAGTCTGGAAGGGGGCTAATGCATTTTTAGTTTTGTCAAAATATTAATGTCACTATATTCTTCTTCTGCCTCTTAGTCTCTCAGAGGTTCTCAGAAACTGTAACTAGAGCATAACAAACATAACAAGATGATACTTGTTGCCTAACAATGTCTGGTGTCTAATAACGTTGATTTCAACCAGAAATAGCACAGTAAGGGTGCCAGAGAGAGGAGCTTCCAGAGAACGACCATCCAGAAGGAGCCTAATTTGCAGCCATGTAGCTCAGCTAGTCCTGGTTCAGGGCATTGAAAGATGGGACAGCACATGGTGGAGCACAGAGCAGAAGTGAAAAGGAGGAAGCCAGGAAGTGTCGCTGCAGTGTTTCTCACAGCTAGACACCTTGAAAGTTTCTCAAGGACCAGTGGCAAAGCAGTAACTTATTGTTTTTTCCTCCCCAAATTATGCCACCAATCTTATTTTGTGTTTGCTAAGTAGTCCTTGGAATTTCTAGTCCTTTATGATCCAGAATCCCTGACTGTCCATGGCCTTGGACGTCTTTTTAATGTGAAAAGAGCTTTACAAATGTAATGTGTTGTTGTTGTCTGTTTCACTCCTTCATCATTGAAGCCATCAGGAGTGGTGACTACAGCTTTGTTTATGGCTCTTTACAAGCATAAGCTTTTAGCACTGAAATCAACAGTGAATATTTCTGAGAGAGTAGTAAATCCACAAACAGTTTTCTGTGTCAATTGCATATCCAATACTTTTACTGTCAAAAAATGTTTCTCTCTAGCACACAGGCATAAGATGATGAAAGTATTATTTCACTGGAATGTGGTTCTTGAAATAAAAAACATCATACTTCACTTCTGCTAAGTATATTTCAAATACATGTCTCTTGTACTGTATTATGAAGATAACAAAGTAAACACACATGCATTAAATGAGAGAACTATTCAATTATTCATAAAATTAAAAATAATTTCTTCATAAAATCTTATAATCTTAAAATCTCATAATACCTTGGAAAGTCAGGCATTTTTGATACAATATGATGGAATTCTCCAAGGTTTATATGTCCATCACCATCCATATCGGTTTCTTCAATGATCTGAAAAGGTAGAGAATCTATGAATGCAAGTATCATTTGTATTACATACAGATACATTTGGTTTATTTACTGAAAACAATTGCTGTCTCAGTCTTCATACTAATTTGTTTGTTAGAATTCAAACTCTGCACCAGTGTACCAGCTTTGAAATTAAGGCTCTCTTCTGTTGCAAATTACAGCTGCTGGCATGTAAATTTTCTGTAATTCCCAGAAGGATTTAGTTCAAATAAGTGGGAATGCAAGCTGATGCGAGCTGAATTTGCCCCAGCCATGAAACAGAGATAGATGAGGCTTTATCACTTCAAAATAACCTAAAATGCAAATTAAATTCAAGTGCGCATTAAAAAGCAATAGCACAAATTGGGTGGCTATTCCCTGGAGGTCTCTCTCTGGTCTTGTGCTCACTATTACTGTATTGCTGAAACACATAGGCTTGTAAGTGTTAGCTTTTACATCTCAAACAAAAAAAATCAAATCAGCACAAATGTAATCCAAAAAACAAACCATATCTATAATCATGGTCATTTCCAAGTCAGTAAGAATGTTGTGAACATCATTTCCAGTCATGCAGGTTATGGATTTGACCACGTCCTGACGATCTAAAACGCCATTGCCATTAAAATCTGTTCAAGATAGAAGGAAAAATCCTTAATGTACTCCTATGCTTTTAATTAAATGACTGTTTCCTACCACTTAAAATATGCAAATTCTTACGGATTCAAGCAAGTTCTTGAAAGCTTGCAAAGTGCTTTCAAAACTATTTTGGATACTTTCTCATATGGATTACTGAAAATAACCCATTATTACAACTCATCACCCTCAGACATTCAGTGAGATTTTGTAATATGACACTAATTTTTATTAAAGTATTGATCCAATAAAACCTTTGTTTTGGAGTATTCACGGGAAGATAAATTGTGCAAATTTTGTGTTTTCCTACAAAAAAGTACAGTAAATTCACTTTACAGTATATTCTGTGGTGCTTTGAGATGTCGCGAAGATGTGAAAAGGTGCTATATTAAATTCAAGGATTATTATTATTATATTTAAAAAAAACTTTTTAAACAAAAAATCAAGCTCAGACAGGCCATCAGACTTCACAGATGGAGTTACTTTTTTCATTATATTTCCAAAACTAGGGAACAGAAGGATGGCTTTCCTCTGTGGCCACAGGATTCAGCATCACCCACATTGATCAGCACTTTCAATGAGCAGTGGGAAGAACGGGCAGTCAAGGCTGGGTGGAGATACAAGAGATTTCTGTATCTAGTTCCTGAAACACTACAAAACATGCGGAAACGTTGTGTTTAAAATTGAAAAGCACAAATGCGATCACTACTGTTGTGAAATATTCACATGTCCCCTTTGCCTGATGCTATTCAATACAAATTTACATTTATATAGCGCCTTTCAGGTCAGGAGGATGTCCCAAGGCGCTTAAAAATCCTGGCTTCGCACCCGAGCTGAGAATGGAAGCTGAGGGCGGGGGGGGAGAAAAAAGATGACCAAAAGCACAGTCAAAAAAGTAGACCTTGAGATGGACCTTAAGATATGAATTCTGTCATGAATTCCTGATATAACTAGGACTAATATCATTTATTAAACTTTCATAAGAGTGGACATAATGCACATAGTGAGCAGGATGGAATCTGCCCCCAATAATTGCATCACTGATGTTTTTCATTTCATTATTAAATGGTTTAGCAGTAAGCATCCACCACTGTGCTAAATCCATTTGAGAACATGTAAAAATTGAGTCAATTCCATCAAAATGAGCTTTAATGCAATTTTTTTTCTGGCTGTTCACTGTGAAAATGTCCAATACACAGAAAATAGGCTAATGTGTTGCTCATAAGCTATTATGTCAATCAAGTCTAGGGAATATTTTTCATATTAGATTTCCACCCATAAGAAACTTTGTTCAGCTGCTCCCTTGATACTCAAATGCAGAGACTGGAGAATGGTGTCCAATGATGGATGCAGGCTGAATTGTGTCAGAGTTGTGTAGGAAGTCAATTGAGGGAACAAATGGAAAAGAAGAAAATGTTATACACTGGTGAGGAAATTTCCAGTAAAAATAAAATACTTCAGGTTGAAAAATGCAACCAAGGATGTCCTGATTATTGCTGTGATAATTATCACATCAACTGAATAATATGTATATATTATAATCCTTGCATTTGATACAGCACTTTTCACGACTTCTAGACGTCACAAAGCGCTTCACAGTATATAATTTAAAGTTAATTTACTGAAACGCAACAATTGAAGTGGATTGAAGTTAACAATTTATTATTGTTTTTATTCTGGATGGAATATTATCAGAATTATGTGAAAGTACCGGTTAATATCAACATCAGTCTTGAGAGAAAATGAATTAGAGGGGACCGCATAGAAATGTACAGCATTTTAAATGAGATTGAAATAATAAACCCAGACCAATACTTTAGGATGCAACAAGATAGCCCAACCAGAGGACATAGGTTTAAAGTTATAAAAGGCAATTTCAGGACAGATACCAGGAAGTTTTACTTTATGCAGAGGATAATCAACGACTGGAACACATTTGCCAGGAAAGATGGTAAAGTTCAGGACGTTAGACTCATTTAAAAAGCTTGAGATACAATGATGGGAATGACGGTAGGGTGGATGTTCTGGAGGAATGAGATCGGATGGGCTGAAGGGCCTTCTTCATCCAGCCCATTCTTGTGATCTTGTGATCTTATAAACTGTAGGTAGGGGTGAAAGCACAGTGGTTGGACTGGAGCTAGCCAGAAGATTTCAGCCTTCACATTGTTGTTAATGATAATAATCCTTGCATTTGATATAGCGCCTTATCACATCTTCAAGATATCTCAAAGCACTTCACAGAACTGTAAGATGTAGTGTCTGTATATTTTGTGGGTGAAACGCTGCAACCAATTGTGCACAGCAGGGTCCCACAAACAGTCGTGAATTAAGTGACCAAATTTGTTCTTTAAAAAGTAAAGCAACCTGCCAATCGACTAATAACAGGGTTCCTACTTACTGCAAGGAAACAGATACGAGTGGAGTAAGGAAACTAGCCCCACCCAGGAATCGAACCCAGGTCTCTCACTTGCGAGCCACGTGCTCTAACCACTGAGCTACAGGACTCCATAACAGTTACTTGTTGCCAACCTGTGGTGCTTGAGTGTCACCCCACAGATTAAAATCAAACTAAGAAGGCAGCAGTGATGGCTGCTGGAATCTTTGTGCCGGCTTCTTGCCTGACTATTGTCCTGAAGTCAGGGGGAGCTTTTCATCAACTGGTTTGACCGCAATTTTAGTCAATATGACAATCATCACCACACAGTGCGTTTCTCACCCCGATGCTACAATGACAAAGTGGTATCACGTGGAAGTGTTAATTGATTTTCCCAGATATAGAAATGTACAAAAATTCAGTGGGGTTTCCAGATACAAGTATGATAAATGATACACTTCATCACCAGCAGTTTGGCTTGATAACTAGCTCCTCATCAGCCTGCCGACCACCATATTCAATATTCACTCTATAAATTTCCACATTTAAAGAGTAAATCTATCACCGCGCTTTACCAGTTCACATTGTTTAATATAGTTTGTAATAAAGCAAGTGCCTTTGCAACAGTGCTGAATACTTTTGACTGGCTTCATCACTTCTGAATTGTTTCCCTCACTTGTTCGAATAAAACCTATTACACAAGCTGCCATGCGGTATTGTTTATCTTTATTTGACTGCTGCTCTCATCCAAATAGCTTTTGAAAGTAATTCATGAGATACGATGAGCCAAATAGCCTTCTTCTGTAAGTTTCTACAAACAGATTCTATATCTTATATATGTGTCAACAGTTAGCAGCACAAAGGAGAGTTGCTATTTGTTTGTTGTTCTTGTGCTGTTATTAAGCACCCTGACTGAGCATTTCATGTAGTTCTTGAGAAATAGAAGGATCGCACTGTTGGAGAGAAGCTATTACAAACTGCATCCGATAACAATCCCAAGCACTTTGTGACCTGTTGTCAAACTAATATTGATGTTGCATTTCCAGCATTTCTCTAGCAAATGCAGTCAACTACAAAGACATTATCCCCTACTATTTGTTTACCTTTACCTTATAAATACATGAGGGAGAAGGGAAAAGAGGAATATGGCATTGGGTCTGGGAAGGGAGATTAGGACAAGCAAGACTCATGTGGAATATAAACACCAGCAGACTAGTTGGTCAAAAATAATTGTTTACCTCTGTAGTCAAATTGAACAGGATATAAATGATATCTAAATTATATCCTTTAATAATTCATAGGCTATGGTATACCTTCCTGCATTATTGTTACAATTTGAAAAGCTTTCAGAAACTTTTCTAACATGAAGACATGCACAGAATTCATATAAACGCACTAGGTCTCTTATGAACTATGGATAATATAGTCTTTTCAAGTGGAGCATCTTACAACTGGATTTAACAACACAGAATCTATTAATTATCACATTGTTACATTCTGCAGCTATGCCCCAGTATCTATTCAAAAACACAAACATATTTGTGTAAAATACACAGGCCAACTAAGCCAAAGAGACTTTCTTAACAGATGCAATTAAATAATGTCAAAATAGAAACAGAATGAACACAAAGACAATTACAATGAATTAGCAGATTTTAAAAAGCTGAGAATGATCCTTACATAAACATTCATAAAGCGTGATGAAGAATAAAGCTTTGGAGGAACTAAACAGTCTGATCTCACAGTGAATTCTATTCAATGTATTCGCCCACAAAATATACAGTCAATTCATTTTACAGTATATTCTGTGACGTGTTTGAGACTTCTCGAAAACATGATAAAGCACTCTATCAAATGCAAGGATATTATTATTATTACATCCATGGACCTACCATTTCGGGAGCAACTAACCTCTCAAACATAACTTGACAGTCAACGGCAGGAAGAATTCTGTTTTTCTATATTCTAAATGTCTCTCTTTAATCTCAGGACACTGCATCTTGTTTATCAACTGAGCACCTCATTCAGGAATATTATAACAATATATTAAATGTGAGATCCAACGCACCATTTAATTGGGTTTAAACCCTACCTTTGAAGATGAAACGTACATCCTAATTTTGCAAAGAAACATAAGTTGACTATTCAGTCCATTGACCTGGTCTGCTATCCATCACACAGAGGATACACCTTAAGATTCTGGTCCTCACCTTCAAAGCTCTCCATTGTCTTGCTCCCCTCTACCTCTCCGACCTCCTAACCCCCTACCACTCTGTTTGCTCCCTCTGCTCAGTGGGCTCCGGCCTGCTTCACGTCCCCCGCCTTGCTCGCCCCACTATCGGCGGGCGGGCCTTCCACCACTCTGCCGCCACCCTCTGGAACTCCATCCTGCAGTCCCTTCGTCTCACTCCCTCCATCGCCACCTTCAAGACCCACCTCAAGACCCTCCTCTTTGACCGTGCTTCCGATTTCCCTGCTTCCCCTCTTGCCCTCTACCCTCCCCCATCCCGACCCTCAGCTCAGGTCCGTAACTCTGCCTGTCCAGTGCCTTGGGACGTCCTCCCAATGTGAAAGGCGCTACACAAATGTAATTTTGTTGTCGTTGTTGCTAGTGTATTGGATCATGGCTGATTGTATTTATTCCTATTTCTCTACCTTTTCTTCATATACTTTAATATCCTTACTTCCCAAGTATACTAATTTGCACAAAGCAAATCAACAGGATAGGTTACAGGAGGACTTGAACATTCTTGGGAATTGGGCAGATCGATGGCAGATGAAATTCGATGTAGAGAAATGCAAAGTGCTTCACATTGGGACAAATAATACAGGAAGGGACTGTTATTTAAATGGTAAGAAAATAATCTGTACGTAAAATGAAAAGGACCCAGGGATCCTGATTGACAATAAATTGAAGTTAGCGCAACAGTGCTTGGTAGCAGTGAGTAAGGCAACCCAGACACTGGATTGTGTTAAAGGAGCAATATTGAGCCAAATTAGTGGGGTAATCCTGCTACTTTATAAATCACTATGCGACCGCACATGGAATACTGTGTGCAGTTCTGGTCACTGCAATATAAAAAGGAAAAAGGATACAGATGAGGGCAATCAAAATGATTGAGGGGATGGAGGGACAATTCTACGAAGAGTGATTAGATAAACTGGGCATATTCACGCTGGAGTAGAGAAGTTTGAAGGGCGATATGATTATGGTCTTTAAGATTCTGAAGGGAATAGATAATTTAGACCATGATAAATGTTTTATCTTCTAGTGAACAGTAGAACCAGAGGACACAGCCTGCAATCGAAGGGGGATAAATTCAGAACAAATCTGCGGAAACACTACTTGAGTGAGCGAGCAGTAAACTTATGGAAAAGGCTCCCGAGGGAGACAGCAGAAGCAGAAAATGTTGTTTGTTTCAAGAACAAATTAGATATATTTCTAATCTAATCTAGAAAATAAATATCTCAGGATACCATATATAGTTTGCGACACAAAATGGCAAGGGACTGCCAGATTGGTGGAAAGTGAGCTAGATGGACCTTGGTCTTCTTTCGCCTAGCAAATTCTTATGTTCTTATGTTCTTATCTATCCAGCCCACAGTAATTGTGGTGGTCCTGGAGAGGATAATCTCACTATAAAGCATTCGAATCGATTCTGTGGTCCTCTGAGATCACTGCATTCCAAATTGCACAACCCTATGTAAGGTCAATATTTTCTGATTTCAATTCTACCCATCGTATAAGACTCACATCATGCTTTAGATCCCTCTACTAGAGTTAAGCGCTGCCTCGTATTTAACTTGTCTATTCTGCTCATTGTTTTAAACACTTCTATTATATCAGCCCTTGTCCTCTTCAGTTTTCAAGAATATAACCTTAGGTTTGCCAACATTTCATCACAGCTGATCCCCTTCATTCCAGATATTAATCTGATAAAGCATTGCTTGACAATCTCCAAGTCTGGAATATCCCTAGTATCTCAATTGCTCAAGATTGAGAAACATTGAGATTGCTTATCAGGAGACTCCAGACTTACCAGCAACATAAACTCGAGTTTTTGATTAACCCTTTATGCTCACAGATACGTCAGGTTTGTGACAACTGTACTAGGATTGAAACTAAGTCATCTGGCTATTAACCGCAGGTTATCTTCCTCCATATATTCCACAGGAAAATAATTCTGCATGTAAATATGGTTGCAAAACAGGAAACGTTACTTTAACTTTTTATATTAATGTTACTCCTAAAGATATTTTACATTTCACTATCTTTGCTATCCATATAGTTTTGTTTATGATAGAAGTAGATAGTATAAGATTCACTCTTACCCATGATTTTGAATGCATAATCAGCTTTCACACTTACTGGAGCAGATTTACTAAAAGCAGAAAATATATCAAGGAAGTCTTCAAAGGAAATGCTGCCGTTCTTTGTTTTGGATGTAGAGAATATCTTACAGATCCTTTCCTTAAATGGATTTGCCTGAAATTAAGAATATTTTCTAGCTGTGAAAATATTGCAACATATCTCAGAAATGCAAGAATCGAGGGCTTGTTATAAATCATACAAACAACTTGCATTTAGATACCCAGTGTAGCGTCTCAAAGTGCTCATAATCCATATCAATGTATCATGTTAAACCAATGTCCCATTTGCCTGTTCAGGTGGATGTTAAAGTTCCCAATACAGTATTCGAGAAGTGAAGGAAGTTTCTTCCAGTGTCCTGGTATACCATATCCCCCAAATAAAATTGGTTATTCACTTCATGGCTGTTTGTGGGACATTGCTGTGTGCAAAATTGGCTACTACGTTCGCCTACGAATCCACAGCCATTCCACTTTCCAGTGAAGCCCTTTGAGATGTCCTCCTAATATGAAAGTCACTATACCACATGTAAGTAAGGATTACTATTATCAAAACATAATGACACCTCTGGAATAGACTGAAATGTTGCAATACCCATGGCTACCACTAAAGGGACAGCTCACAGTGTGGCAAACGTTATTTTACAGTCTACTGTATAGACTGATTAAATTTAAATAGTTGAGACCTTGAAGGTTTTGACACCACTGGGTACATGTGTATTACTGCCTTCATGGTTTGAGTCTAATCCTCCAAATCCTCTTGTAACTACTCATTCAGTTCGTATTGCTTCTGCTTAATAACAACTATAAAACTCAGCAGTGCCTGAAAATCCTGAGATATGTGTCTCTTTCTTTAATCCAGAACTGCCTGTACCACCCACGACTCAGATATCAGTAAAACTGGAGAACAGCAATTATCTAACAGTGCACTGTGCAATGTAGAAAGCAGATTAAATGTTTTAAAACCGACCATTTGTAAACAGAGTTGCATAGCCTTGTGCCCATTCACCTCATTTATAATATATAGAAAATGTGTAGCATTGTTTTTTGTTTGCACCAGCAATGTCCTGCAATCAGATATAAAATGATTGATCATGTCGAGTTTGAGCCTTCTGATCCAAAGATGTGAGTGCTACCAACCACACCAAAATAACACTAATGTCAGCTATACCAATCTTTCCTTTGTATAGACTCAGTTCTGGGCAGGGGCAAAGCAACCAGGCACTGTAGAATCATTGAATAATAGAAATGTAAAGCACCAAAGGAGGCTATTCAGCTCATTGGGTCCGCATGAGCTCCCAGAACAAGGTTTTCATTCAATCCAACTGCCTGCCCTATCTCCATACCCCTTCAACCCTCGAACTTTCATTTATGGGTCTACTTCCCTCTTGAATCTCCTGATTTACCCTGCCTTCATACTTTACTTGACAGAAGATTCCACATCCCAACACTCCCTGTGTGAAGAAAAGATCTCCTTTTCACTTTTTTGTGACTATATTATAACTATATCCCCTAGTCACTGCCTCTGCTACCAATGGAAATAGCTTCTCCCTATTTACCCTGTCAAAACCCCTATAATTATGTACACCTCTATCAGGTCCCCTCTTAACTTTCTCTCCTCCTATGAAAATAAACAGAACTTCTTCAATCTCTCCTCATAACTATAACAACAACAACAAGATTCCATTTATAAAGCGCCTTTCACGTCAGGAGGATGTCCCAAGGCGCTGCACAGTTGGGTCAGGACCCGAGCAGGGGAAATGGTCAGGGGGAGGGAAGGGGGGGAGCGAGGAGGGGGGAAATGGTCAGGGTGAGGGGAGGGAAGGGAGGGAGCGAGGAGGGGGAAGAGAGTCGAGAGGGGAGCTGAAGGCTCGGTCAAAGAGAACGGTTTTGAGACCGGCCTTGAAGGAGGAGTAAACTATAGTTACCATCCTTGGTATCATTCTTGAAACCCATCTGTCAGCACCTGGGGACGTTCTCCTGACGTGTTAGGCAATGTTAAGCAGCCATAAAACAATAAAACAATTGTTCAACTTTATTGGGGAGATTGATGGCCAGGGCACCAAGAGAAACTCCTTTTTGAGTAGTGCCATGGGATCTTAAAATGTATACCGGAACAGGCAGATGGGACCCTGGTTAAACATCTCATCCAACGGACAGCACCTCCAACAATCCAACAGCCGCCCAGCACTGCATTGGAGTGTCAGCCTAGACAATGTGAGTTAGAGTCCCAACTTGGGACTTACCTCTGACTTAGAAGCAAGAGTGCTACTCACTGTGTCAGGCTGACACCTATATGTGATCAGCTGAAATGGCACTTGTAACACCATCTATTATTAATTACAATAATAAAGTTGTTCCATTTTTGTAAGTTCCTCTTTCCATGCCGCACACTATTTCATAGCCAGGAAATGGGTAGATTCCCATTAACGTGACTATTGATCAGGTTATTAGGAGGAATTAATTAGTAGCCTCAATTTTATTTTTTCTCTCTGCCTCCCTTAAACTGCATTGAAAACACAAATGTCATAGTTAGGTCACTAGTTAAAAGGCATCACTTTTTCATTACCTCCCCTGGTAGTGGAGACAAATTCACACTCCTGTGGAAATTCAGCTACAAATCTGAGTCCTCCCACTCTGCGGCTTAGCTCCATTGTGTTGTGCCTCTGTTCCATTTTAATTTGTATTACCATATTTTTCAGCAGCGTCAACAACAATGTTTATTGTTTTCAGCAGATAATTTCTGTATCAGAAGCTAGAATTTGCAGTCATTGCTATCTTCTACCAAACCAACATCCAACAAAGACTATATTGATCAAGTTTGCATTCTGAAACAAGCAAAGAGTTAATGTTCTGATGTGATAAGATTCAGAGAGGTCGAACGTTTTTTTCTCATTCCAAATTGTAGATTCTAATGAACAGCTTACAACGTCATTGTACAATGTAATAGGGCTGCAAAGGGCAATTTCAGGAAGTATTTCTTTACCTAGAGCAGTGCCAGGCAAACTACAGCCCACTGGGCCATCAAGAAGCGGACCCCCAAACATTCACAATAATCTAGGTAAATCCTTGTTCAATCTTTGGTGTGTTTCAGTTTTTTTTGGATTTAATTTTTTTTCATTTATGGCCACACTGACCTAGGGGGTAATTAATAATGGAACAAGTTGCCAGGAAAGGTGGTTGAGGGCAGGACACTGCACTCATTTAAAAAAAAGCTAGATGTTGGGAGAAGAAGACAGGGTAGATAGGCTATTCTGGAAAGGCTGAGATCAAATGGGCCAAAGGAACTTCTTCATTCAATCCTCTCATGATCTTCAAGGCACCTCAAAGCAACAACAACAACAAGATTACATTTGTATAGCGCCTTTCACGTCAGGAGGACGTCCCAAGGTGCTGGACAGTGGACAGCATTTCAGACCCAAGCTGGGGTCAGGGGGGGAGAAAGGAGGGGAGGGGAAGGGGAGTGGCTGATGGCATGGTCGAACAGGAGAGTCTTGAGGCGGGACTTGAAGGAGGCTAAGGAGAGGGTGAGGTGGAGTGACTGGGGGATGGAATTCCAGAGGTTGGGGGCAGAGTGGCTGAAGGCTCTCCCGCCAATGGTGGGGCGGGTGGGACGTGGGACATGGAGCAGGCCGGAGCTGGCTGAGCGGAGGGTTGGTAGGGGATTAGGAGGTCGCAGAGGTAGGGTGGGGCGAGGCCATGGAGGGCTTTGTATGTGAGGAGCAGGATCTTGAACTGGATCCTCTGAAGGATAGGGAGCCAATGGAGTCGGGTGAGAGTGGGGGAGATGGGGTCACGGAGTTTGGTGCGGGAGAGGACACGAGCTGCAGAATTCTGGATTATCTGCAGTCTGTGGAGGGAGGAGTTGGGAAGGCCAACAAGCAGGGCATTTGCATAATTGATCCTGGAAGTGATGAAGGCATGAACAAGAATTTCAGCTGTCTGAAAAACACACCTTTTTGACAGTGTTTTCATTCATCTTTCCCATCCCCACTTTCCTCAGCTCCCCCATCCAGCTCAGTCAAGCTCTTTGAAGCATCCTCCCGCTGTGAAAGGTGCTATGTAAATGTAAATTATATTGTGATGTCATTCCATACAGGTATAAACCTATAAAAGAAAGCCACTTCTCTCAGCTTATAATAATAATCCTTGCATTTGATATAGTGCCTTATCACATAATTGAGACGCCTCAAAACACTTAACAGGATATGCTGTAATTTGACTGGGTGAAACGCGACAGCCATTTGTGCACAGCAATGTCCCACAGACAGCCACGGAGTGAGTGATCAATTTTATTTGGGGGATTGTTGGCCAGGATACCAGGAGAAATTTACTTCTCTTTTTGAATAGTGCCATAGATTTTTAACGTCCACCAGAACAGACAGATGGGACTTTGGTTGAATGTTTCATTTGAAGGATGGCTCCTCTAATAATGAAACATACCCCCAACACTGTATTGGAGTGTCAGCTTCAACTATGTGATTCCAAGTCCCGATGTGGGGCTTGAACCCACAACCTTCTGACTGAGAGGTGAGAGTGCTACCACTGAGCCAGGTTGACATGCAATCTACCCAATAACTTGTTAACTTTGAAAGTACTCTCCCTAGTTCTTTACATTGCTTCAAACTGAAAAAATATTATTAATTTCCACCTTATTATCTACTTGCTGCACTGTGTTAAAAAAAACGTTAATTGTGTCTTCTCTCACTTGTCATTTTTCTATAGAGAGAATGGCATTAGATCCTTGACCGACATTTTTCCTGATGTAGGAATGTAAATCCACATCAGTATTGACAATATCTGAGTGAAACTGAGGTTGTTAGTTGAATTATATGTAGCTTAGTGTAGTGGATTCTCAATTACAAAGAAAATGAGTTAAGACAATCAGCCTCATTTAGCACACTCAGGAAACAGTCGTCAACTGAGAGAGAAGAATGGGATAGATTGACTCACCCAATCTCAAAATCATTATCCCATGGATTGAATCTCCCCAGATACTTGTAGATAATATTAACATCCACCACACATAATTAGAAATTCCATTTTTCATCCCTTGTCCAAGTGAAACTTGAATTGGATACTCTCAAAGTTTTCATAGCAATTCCATGGATGATAATGTATGGTGGATGTTGATATGTGTGCTTTTAGACCCTGTCTAATTGTCCGGGTAGATGTTAAAGATCCAATGGCAAAACACAAAAAGAGAAGGAAGCTTTGCCTGATGTTCTGGCCAACAATCCACCAGATAAAAGCTACTGTGTTCGCCTACAAAATACAGTCACTATATTTTACAGTAAATCCCGTGAAGCACTTTTTAGACATCCTTCCAATGTGAAAGGAGCTATGTCAAATGCAAGGGTTATTATTTTCAGCACTGAATTAGTTAATTGAAAAGTCAAGAGATTGAATATATACTTGAAACATGCAGAAAAGTTTTAATGCGATCATTTGCTTCTTACCTTTAACTCACTGATTTGAATCATTTGTTCCATGGGAGCTCGCACATTACTTCGAGTGAAATTTTCAACGTTTTCTGGAACCAGTTCTTGAAATCTTTTACATGCTCTAAAGGATTAAATATTAACAAGGAAAATAACCATCTTTCTGCTACAGTCCTAAACCTTTAAATATTCAAAGTGTTACAAATGTTTTTCCTCTTCATCCAGAAGCCATGGTTTGCTGTGAAATTGCAATGAGAATGGAGTATGAAGGTTCCAAAATCCATAATGTAGTGCACCACACCCAGGATAAAATAATAGGAGTGAAAAGCTAGATAAATCAAAAAGTAATTAAACAATAATAATAATCCTTGTATTTGATGCCAAGACTGTAGGCTGTATTGTGTTGTGAAACTGGCTAAGCTTTCAGTTATCTTAGCATATCTGTTATACTGTATACGTTACAGTAAAATTGTGACACCAGGGATTTCATGAAATCCCTGAAATTATTTTAACCAGATAGACAAATCTCCAGGACCTGATGGATTCCACTCCAGGGTATCAAAAGAAGTAAGGGAGGAAATTGCAGATGCTTAGTCATAATTTTCCAAAGATCTCTATATTCGACAATTCTGCCCTTGGGTTGGAAAATTGCAAATGTCACTCCATTATTTAAGAATGGAGGAAGAGAGTTAACCAGGTCAGTTGTGGGGAAGTTACTGGAATCTCTCATCAAGGACAGAGTGATTGAGTACATGGACAATCAAATCAATGTAAATCAAACAGAGTCAGCGTGGATTTGCGAAGGATAGATCATGTCTGATGAATCCAATTTAATTTTTTAAGTGGATGAGCCCGGATATGGATATCGTCTACTTGGACTTTCAGAAGGCATTTGATAAGGTTCCGCACAAGAGGTTATTAGCAAAAATAAAAGCGCATGGAATTGGAGGTAATCCTGCAACATGGCTTGGTAATTGGTTGGGAGGCAGGAAACAGAGAGTAGGGATGAAAGGAACATTCTCTGATTGGCGGGATGTGATAAGTGGTGTTCACCAAGGGGCTGTACTGGGGCCTCAGCCGTTCACCATATTTATAAATGACTTGGATGAAGGAATAGAGTTTTATATCAAAATTTGCAATTACGCAAAGTTAGGAGGCACAGTAAATTGTGTAGACAGGAGCACAAAATTACAAAAGGACTTAGATAGATTAAAAGTGAGTGAGTGGCAAAACTGTGGCAGATGGAATTCAATGTGGGGAAGTGTGAGGTCATCCACTATGGTTCCAAAAATAGCAAAGCAGAATATTTTCCAAATGGTGAGAAACTAATAATTGTGGAAGAGCATAGGGATTTAAGTGTCCACTAAAAACAAGCTCACAGGTACAAAAGGTTATGAAAAAGGCAAATGAGATGTTGGCCTTTATTTCAAGAGGGATGGAATAAAAAGGAGAGGAAATGATGCTTTCAACTGTATAGAGCCTTGGACAAACCATATCTGGAGTACTGTGTTCAGTTTTGGGGACAGGACCTCAGGAAGGATATATTGGCTCTGGAGGGGGTGCAGCGCAGATTCACCAGAATGATAGCAGGCCTTAAAGGGTTAAATCATGAGTACTGGTTGCATAAACTTGTTCTCTATTCCCTTGAGTTTAGAAGGTTGGGGGGTGATCTGATTGAGGTTTTTAAAATAATTAAGGGATTTGATAGGGTGGAAGCAGAGAAACTTTTTCCTCTGGTGAGGGAATCCAGAACAAAGGGACATAGACTTAAAATTAGAGCTAAGCCGTTTAGGAGTAAAATCAGGAGGCAGTTTTTCACCCAAAGAGTACTGGAAATCTGAAACTCTCCCCCAAAAGGCTGTGGATGCTGGATCCATTCACATTTTTAAGACTGAGGTGGATAGATATTTTTTAGGTCAGGGTATCAAGGGATACAGGGCAATAGCAGGTAATTGCAATTGAGGTATAGATCAGCCATGATTTTATAGAATGGTGGAACAGGTTTGAGGGGCTAAATGGTCTACTCTTGTTTCTATGTTTCTATACTGATAGCCTTGCCTTGACACTTGTTAACATTATTAACAAATAAATAGCACATTATGAAACTTCATTTTTTATTCACCATAAACTTCAAATGACATTTCATTCACTGATGAGTCCAATGTTCATTTGAGCGAGACTTCCATGACACCAGGAATTACATTTTTAGCTTTGCTTTGAATCATTTACACGGTTGGTCTGACATTTTTTTCTGACCGCAGTTAAACTTTGTAAAGCCTTGTCCACCACAAACAGACAGCGTTGTAGAGTGACAGTGACTTCTCCTAGTTGACGCAGGTCAAATTGGTTCCTGGAATGGTGACACCTCTGGATGCTGGCCTTCCCTGCTATCTTGTACTGGTCAGTGTCTAAATCTCTCTTAATGATAACACCAAAGCTGTTCCTGGGATCCCCTCTACTGCTGGGATCACGTTTTCACTTAATCCCTGACTCTTAGTTTCAGTGATTTCATGGTTTCACAATTTTCTTACAATTTTAAGGATTTTGTGAAATCACTGGTTTCACAACTTTACTGTAACATATATACTATGAAACTCTTATCAGTTATTTTTATAAAAGACTCGGGCATGGGCCACCACCAGGAACAGTTCTTTATTCAAATATTTCTTTTTCTTTCCTGTCTCTGCTTTCCACTTAAGTGTTTCTGTACTTTGTCAGGCTATTAATCTTGAACTTGCCACCAGGAAGGAGAGGGTGAGCAGAAGTTAAGCACTTCTCTACATAGAAGAACAAAAATCAATCAAAGTCACCCTGAGGTATTTCTACATGCTTCCTGACACCCAAATGCACTGGAAAACCCTGAAATCAGGTTAGTTCCCACCCTCTAGGCCAGGAATTATTCAGGGAGACCTACAATGGGAAGAAAGTAAGACAATTTCCAAACTCATATAAGAATAAGTTAACTACAAAGAGTACAATATCATTATATAACAGACGTGCTGAGGTGACTGAAGGCTGAGCCAGTATCACAACTGTCATAGGTATTGTGGGGTTGAAATTCTGGTAGCCAAACAGTACTTGAATAAAAGGGTCTGGATGGTGGTCCCATATATATTTCTCAGTCTCAGTCTGTAGCAAAGTGAAAATCAGATGGCAGGATCATAGAAAATCATAAGGCATTTTCAAGATGAGGCTGTAATCCTAGATTAACCAGGTAGTGAGATAATAATTGTTGCTTGGACATGTCCACCCTACATAAACCATAAATTGACAGAAAATGAACCACAAACGTATCAGTCCAAGTTGTTGGAGCTGTGAGCTGAGCTCCACCAACATCATTGATGTTTAGTACATAATTTTGATCCCTAAAAGAGTAAACTTTTTAGGTTGGAGGCGTAGGACGAGTGGAGCTCGAGTTAGTGCAGAGATGTATTTTAGGACACTCACTGCAGGAATAGAGCACGTGATCTAGGAAATGTCACATTGATACAACAACAACAAAAATTACATTTGTATAGCACCTTTCAAGTCGGGAGGACATCCTGAGGCCCTGGTATTAGGAAATAGGAACATGCAAAAAGACCGTGAGAATCCTGCTCAGTCTGATTTTCAAATAACATCTCTTCCTATCTCACATAATCCTCAAACTCCTTCACCAATTTACAATTACTGCCATAGCACTGCTAGAGAGCTGTGTGGTATTTGGCTAGACCAAAGAGGGTAGCATGCTAACTGTTTTTACTGAGCAAAGCAAGCAAAGCAAATGAACCATTGCACATGGTGCCAGTCAAGCATATGGAAAGGGTATTATAATAATACTAATTAATCCTTGCATATGATATAGTACATTATCACATTGTCATGAAGTCTCAAAACACTTCATAGGATATACTGTAAAGTAGTGTGACTGTGTAGGTACAAAAACCTTGAGTGTTTCAACTAGAGTGGCGTTGGATAAAAAGGGATCTATTAGTGGCCTTCAAAATACCGAAATGTTTTAACAGGATAGTGAAGGAACAGGTATTATAGAATTTGCAACACAGAAGGAGGCCATTCAGCAGCCTATTTAATGCTACTTCCCTGCCCTTTGCCCATATCCATAATGCTACTATTTGTAGGAGGCTGATATTTTGTTCACCAGGTTCATCAAGCCATTTCTGAATAGTCTTATTAACTGTCCCAGTTACACTGATCTGATGATTACAGGAACTATGTTTGTTCTATACTGCCACATACATCCTCATTCCAAGTTTTATTATTAATTGGACATTGATAATTTTTGTAGTACTTTTCTGGCCTAAATGGGTGCAAAGTGTGCCTACAAAAACAATCACTGAAGCATCACCTTGTTAAACATTGCTATAGATCAAAACCAATGACAGTAAATACTTGTAGAGGGCTTTGAGTCATTTTAATGTGACAAGACTCTATAAAAATGCAAGTTCCTTCTTCCTTTATGGCAGAAGATCGATACTGGAGGAAAGTGAGGCTTAAAAGTGAAACTGTGATTGAGGTGTTATTGTATCCTCAAGGAGATTCAACATCATGACCACTCCTTTGGCAGTGAGCGTTAGATCACTAGGAACATCCAGGCATTGGTTCTCTGTATATTAGGGAAACACCAAAACACTGTATTCTGCCCCATGATTTGTTTTATGTATTCTAAGCAAAATACCCAGTTTAATATTTGGAATTGCAATTATTTAGGCATTGGTATATAACAGCAAATATTTGTGAACTCAATATAAATAAGTGGTGCATTGCCTGGACTGAACTTTTGATGATAGAATTCATAAACTGTTCATGCATAGTCACCAGATGGAGGCAGTGGCCTAATTTTACAGTTTAATTAGTGTGTAGTGTATAGAGAATATTCTGCGTCATTGGTGGCTTACACCTTAGTGTAATCCTATCAGATCATTGGCCTGTGGAAATTGGAGATGGCAGATATGCACCAACCCTCAAACATTCATTATTTCTGTGCTGTTGTTATTCCAGACCTGTCATTTGCAAAATCGAATGATATACTTTCTATCAAAGCTGTCATCCTGAAGAGTTCAGCTGGATCTGAGACCAGAAAGTACTTTGTTCATAAACACAGAAATCTTTCCAAGTCTATACATCATGTCTAACATTATCCACCTTGGGGAGAGGGAAGGTGTTAAACCTTGTGGGGATGAACTCTATCCAAGGAGACATTTCAGGTGAAGCCAGGCAGGTCTGCAATAATCATTGCTGATGGTTGTCTAGTCTGTCTGACCGATTCATTAATAAGGCTTGGCGATGCAGGCATGCAATGGAGCCTAAACTCTAACAGTTGGGACTGTTCTAGCTAGATATATACCCTGAAATGTACCAGTGCTTCCAACTGATAAACTATACAGTTTCAAGGCCCATTTCAAGAGCTTCCTCCTTGATTGTGCTTTTGGTCATTTTCTCAAGCCCACCCTCCTTGCTCTCCACCCGTCTTGAATCTAAGCAATGTTTTGAAGGAGTATAAAATGTTATCTTATTTACGTCTTAGATGGAATATTACTACTGGATGGAAGGATGATACAACTGACATGCATCGAATGAAGGTAAGAGATGAACTTCATCCTCAATCACTATTTGCAAGCATCACCACAGTTAAACCCCTACCCCCACACCCCCATTCACACCTTACTGTCTCCGAGTCTGTCAGCAAACACAAATCAAGAATCAATGAACAGTAACTTATTATTCCTTCATGAATAGATAATAATAATAATAATCCTTGCATTTGGTAAAGCACCATTCACGGCTTCTCAAAGTGTTTCACAGAATATACTGTAAAGTGAATTTATTGTGTATTTTGTGGGCGAAACATGGCAGCCAATTGCTCACAGCAGTGTCCCACAAACAGCCGTGGACAATAAATGCAACTGTGGATACCTATCCATTGCATTGTTTGTTAAATGTGCACAATAAAGCAAAATATCCTTTCTCTTTGAAAAGTTTAAATTAAACATCACTCAATGGCTAACAACAGAATTCCATAACAGATCACAATTATATAAAAAGGCACAATCAAAATCCCTGTGATTGACTTTTGAGAATGCATTGTTTTTCACATCTTCAATTTTTTTTCTTTTAAGGTGTCAAACATTAACTGTATGCACAAAATATTTCTCTCTCACTGTTCATCATAGCCATCAAAACTCCTTTAATGAAACCCAAACTGTTTTAATAGTCTGGCAACTCCAGTGTTTACATTTTCCATACCACATGCATGCATTTAGTTTTGGCATATACAGCATTTTTTCATTTGTGGTCAGCATTTTCTTAATGCACAATTTTCAAATATTGCTCAGGTTTACAAAATTAATAACACGCAATAAAGCTGTGTTGTGTAGGTTCCATCCATTGTAGAGGCATTGCAAATAGGAACGTTTGTTTTTATTGATGTCGCAGAAGGTGTACTTCCCAAAGTCTCATAATGCAAGTTCCAAACAACTCCTAGATGGAGCTGAAACTCATGGTTGCATAAGGTGACATGCAGTGACCAATAAATCACTAATCGGTCTATTAGTTTCTAACACTGAGAGATTATTGGAAATTGAGTTCAGCCCAGGATGATTTCATTACTTTGGTTCACTAAATAATAACATCAGTCATGGATTATTCATGCAGGGTGTCAGAATTCTTTATTTTGGGGAAAGCAATAAACAGCTGGACTGGATACCAGGAAGAAGAGGCCAGACACTGGCCTTACAAATCTACAAACACTTTGAAAACCCAGGTTACGACTCCCTCATTTGGCACCATGTAGTGCCAAAATCTTATCATTAAACTTCAATATCTTCACACTCGCATTCACTCAAATCTAACTATCTATGGGAAGATCTTGACAAACCGTTTTTGGTGTTTACTCAATATTGACACTCAATATTATTGTTTTTATGTATCTAAATGTTCATTATTTAAATTTGTAAGGACTAAATTAAATTAAAAAATGTAAGTCCTTAAAATTAAAGGACATAAATTTGTAAGCAATAGCTAGATGCTGTAACGGGATGACATATAAGATTGCTTTTATGGAAGGGTGAGACAAAATAGGGCGAAGGGCTAAAAGCATAAGGTCAAAAACATAGCAGTGTCTTTACTGCAGAAATAAAAACTGTCTGACAAAATAGCATCAATCACCATGATTGGCTCCTATATACACATCTACACCAATGCATTATACAATAATGCTATAACATACAATCCTGTAGAATAGTTCAACAGTCAAAGTAACAAGGCATCTTGTTACTTGCTATATCAACGAGAATCTAGGTGACAGCCCGACTGTTTGCACCATGGATACAATACTGAGTGTTAATATTGAGTAGATATCCAACACTGTTTGTCAAGGATCCTCCAGCAGATAGTTCGATTTGAATGAGTGAATGCCGTGATAACATGTTTAGGTTTAATCTTACGATGTGGGCACAACATGGTGCCAAATGAGTCGTAATCTGGATTTGTAAAGGATTTATAAATATTGAATACGGCTGTAATCAGATGTATATCATGTGCCTGGAAGAAAATTGTGTTGAAGCAGAATTCCCACAGGTTGGTGTGACGTACATCTGGCAGGATAGTTACCAACACTTTGCAAATTCAAGTTGAGACTCTTGTGTTTTGAACTCTATTGCCAAAGCAGACTATTTTTAGGACTTAATGACAGCTTCATGCCACATAACTAGTGTGACCTTGTTCATTGTCAAACAGAAGAGTCATTTCTGGAATTAATTCCTTATATCATTTTGACAGCAAGCAATCAAGACATAGGAATTGCTCCTTCACAATGCACTCCATAAATAAAATGAAATAGGTACTTCCCCAATCTCCTGTAACGGGCCTCCCTGATATTATTCTGTGAAATGTTTTAGCCACATGCTGCTGCTCCCCTCACATCGCCCATAATTTCCTTTTCCATTCTACTTTTGAGGTATCTACCTTTTTTTTGTTAGTTTGCCTCTATGTAATTTCTTTTTCTAATTTCCATTTTTCACTCAGTTGATTTTTATTTAGCTATTTTTAATTCAGTTTTACAGATTTTCCAATCTGCTTCTTTACCTATTATGTGCAATATATTTACATTCGCTTTTACTGCTCTTTTCAACTTTCCTATTTGAACATTTGGGTTTTGATATAAACCTGCTAAAGCTCATTTTCAGTATGTTTATAATGGAGGAGATACAGAGGTAATATGTTCTATACAAAGTAAGGTTTTTCTTTAAGAACATAAACAAGATGTCTCCTATCTGTTTTTCTTATCTTTCAATAGAGACTTATTGTTTTGGAGTTCTGCTTACATTGAGCCACCAATTAATTGTTTTACATGCAAACCTTCTTCATCCTAAACACTGTGATTTCCTTGTTGGTTGCCAATAACTAGTTGCTCATCTGGGTTTGATATCTCAGGTCCTCCCCCAAGACAATTGGAGTTTAAATTGATAACAAGTAATGCTTACATCTTGTGGTCAAATAGATTAGCCTCAACAAGTAGAGCATGTTTCCTGAAAGCAACCCAGTTATCTACAAATTCAATCTCTTCCCATACACATTCCTTTGCTAAGCACTGTTTGGAGTTGACTATGATGCTCCTTGTCTCCATGGTGCCAGGTAGCACTGGAGAAACCCAGATACCACTAGCTTTACACTCTGATTAAATCTGAGCTGTCTATTCACCTTATCTCTTCTGAGCTTGTGTCTCCCTTGTTCTGTATATTGCTAACCACATTAAACATATTGTTGGCAGTTGTTTCATCGTTATCCTTCAGAATTGTGAAAAGAGAAGAGCCGGGAAGAAAACTGGAGAAGAAACACTGGCAAAAATAAAAGGGCATACATAGGTTTAATTTTTTTTATTCATTTAAAAGTGTTAAAATAGTATCTCCTGTAGAGTATTAATATCACATGAATAAAGTAACCTCTGACATTTGTATTATTAAGGTATGTTTCAGCATCATCTTGTGCGAGCTGAAATATTAAAAACATGCCTGGCTAAGGAAGCTTGGAATTCCTGGTAATTCTAGCAGTTTAAAGGTTAATACTTGTTCATGTTTCCTTCCGTTAAAAAATAATGTCCTATAAGCATTATCCTCCATGCACACCTCATGCTTGCTATACAAGAGAGACAGCACAAGCAAGACACATTTTTAAACAACAGTGCTTCACTCGTGCTAGCCAGGTTTGTTGATGTAGTCAATGACATTTCAGTTTGTTCTGATTCTGGAAGCAGGACAAAGGACTTCATCCAAACTACTCCTATGCAACTCAGAACCTCACTGTTGAAACACTCCTACATCTGACATATCTTCAATCTTAAATTTAGCAACAAACGTGGACTAACTATACTATATACTATAACTATACTATTTTGTCTTAATGTTGTGAGTATAGGTCAAGGTGAGGGGTTGGGAACAGGAAGGTGTCAAAGTTGCATTATTATTGTATAAGTCAGTCTAAATACTGCTCATAGTATAATATGTGTTGGATTCTGAGTCTATATCAGCTCCAACTGTTACACAGCACAAGACCCATTTCTTGATGGGCTCAATGGAAACGGAATAGTCAAATGAGCAGGCAATTCAGTTTCTTTGTAACCGATTTTTGTTCCAAATTTACTCCCCAGTAGCCATAAATAACTATGGTGATTCTACATATTGAGTCATGTAACCCAGCTACACATCAGCTAAATGCAGCTTGCTTGGAATAGTACATGCCAGACACCCACTACTGAGCGCAATAACAAGCTGAAAATGAACCGAAGTGTAAATTAAGCTATAAAAAGTTATAAATAACAATTGAATGATTAAAAGCAAATCATGTATTCAAACGTTTGAATAACAATAAACTGGGAGTTTGTTGAGGTGCATGATACTATTTGATCACCTCCAACTTGCAATTGCTCTCTCCAAATGTTTATCCTCTATCTAATGTATGCAGAGGATGCTGGTCTCCTGCACTGTGCAGTGAAATAAAACTTAATATTAGAAAAATTCAGATTCAGACACTTTTCATTCAAATCATCTGATTTGATTATTGGCAAAGAGAAGGGCTGAAAACAGGGTAATACTGCCCCCATATGTTTCAAAGTGATGTGGAATAACACTGGGCAAATTGCTTGTCAATGACTAGACACACATTGAGTTTAAGTTGTCAAATTTTTGCCATCACAATTTCTCAATGCCTTCCTGCCTGGTTATGCATGCCAGGCCTGCATATTCAACCATCTATTTCATTGAACAAATCCCATGACTTGCACTATAGAGCTTTTCACATTTTGTGCTGTTTCTTTAATGGTTTGTAAAATCACACACAGCTCTTAAACAGCTTTCTGCTTTTCATATACTGCAAATCGGCTCACAGTACATGTTTTCATTCCTTCATTCACTTTTTTGAGTACTCAAATTAAATTGAAAAACAAAAAGCAATATCACATTAGCCCTACAAGAGATACAATTGAGTTTTAGCATTGTTGAATATTTACTCATGGTGTATCCTCCTGTAAATTGTGTGACCTTACTGTATTGTAGTCGTCTCATCGCAGTCACCTCCCACAGTCAATCCCATTTCAAAACTCATTTTAGCAGTCAGCATGTTTTTCCTTTTATTGAGATTACAGTAATTTGTTACAAAAATTATAAATGACAGAAATTGAGTACGGCTGTAATTTAATATCATCTGAATCCCAAAAGTAAATTAAATGTCTGATGACTCACTCCCAACCATCCACAATTTAAAATACTAGCATTTCAAGATTACATTCTGAAGATTCTTAGAAATTGGAACTGAATTCTTCTGAGAAAACAAAGGCAATTTAGGAGAGCCTTGATGGGCGAAATCCGGAGTATGAACCCTTAGGATCAGGAAAAGCAGCTCTGATTTTCCACACGCAGCAGCTGGGAATGATACGCTTGTTGCCAGTTCCCAAACATCCATGCTGCCACATAATGTACTGCCTGTATGCTGCATGTCTCAGCTCACTGTTGTGGCTATCATTGGAGAATGCATGCAGGCCAAATAATTCATTTCGATAATTCAACATCAGTTGCAGCACTGCTTCATTCAAGCATAGGTTGGCCATAGCAGAGCTTATACTTATGCAATGTTGCTCTGTTTTCCCGCAGCACACTTTCTCTATGTCTGTAAGCATCTCCCTACACAGGCCACACAAACACCAATCGGGGATGCTTGAGGAAGCCTCATGGACGGAACAACTTGGTGTAGCATCCTGTAGGAGGTCTATGATCAACCCAGGATTCCTCTTTACCAACCGCACAAAAATAGCTTCCAGCTTTAAACGGTCAAGTCTGGATGCCAAGTTCTGCAAAGAAATATACAGAGTGGGTAAGAATACCAAGTATTCCTTGTTTTTCCTTTACAAAGTTTCTATTTCACTTGCCCATCTTTTGCTATTCCTGTTCTTTTACCTGGATTTCTTTCTCAATTTCCTCCTCAACCTTTTTCTGTTCTTCCTTATATTGCAGAGCTGAATTGGTGCTTGTGTTTGAATCGTCCTTATGGCATTCCTGTGTCATTTTCTTGCTGGTGGATGATATGGATCTGCGATATGGAGCACGGCATTTTGTTTTGGCTCTTGCTCGTTGTGGTCCTTTTCCTCTTCTCCCACGCACACTGGATTGGCCCCTGTTCATTATTATTATTGTTAACACTTAACAGCACATGCATTGAATTGTCTCCTTAAATGCAATATATAGTCCACAGTCGGTCCTTACTTAGCATTCCTTTACACCTTTGTGTGTGGAACTATTACACCTGTTGCTGGAAATATATTTCTAATTGTTTTATTAGAAATATATTTTTTAAACAAATGTAATAAATAATAACCTTACATTTGGTAAAGCACCTTTCATCTCTTGAGGACGTCTCAAAGCTCTTCATAGGATGTACTGTGAAGCAGAGTGACACTGTTTTCTACACAAAACTAAGGCATGTGTTATGGCCTCTTACACCAATGCTTTATGCTTTATACCAAATTGTTTTTCAAATGAGTAAAAATAGATATGATAACAGATGTCAGACACAGTTTCCCTAATTTTACTGCAGGTACTCTTTAAGCTTAATGTAATAATGTAGGTCCTTCCAAGTGTTGGAATAGTTCTCCCTCAGGTATGTTTGAGGAATCCAGCAAATATTGGATCCAACTCAACTCATAACTCTCAAACTAAATGTGGAGTTCTGAGATATCACACTGGACTCATTCAAATAGACTCTTGAGTCTCACACTGCTCCAGATTTGTTCAATTGAGAAAACAACTGCTACTATAATTCTAATGTGATATGTGCAAGGGAAAGTTATCATATGACATAAAACTAAGTAGACTAATTTGCAGTGGAGCCCCCTTTTCCCCCATTATAACCCTGGACCTGTAGCATAATATAAAGAGTGAATAAAGAGCTGCACAATAAATCTTAGTAGCCAAAATGCTAGTCGTCGATGATGGCTATGAACAGACCACAGTACAACTAAACCAGACATTCTTCATAAAAACAAAATAACATAACTGCACATACTGTAAATTTAAATGTTGGTTGAGAATATATTGAAGGCTACAATGCATTCTCAGGCTTAAAATATTTCTCTTATTCTCTGCATGTGTTATTGAGCAAGTGGAGATTTTAATATTTAAGAATGCATGTTTATCCCTCAGCTTGCTCAATCTTTGCTCTCAAAATTCATGACATCACCCAACCTCCTTGAATTTGAATTATCCTTGTAACACACTCCTTGATATTTTGTTATTCTCTATGTAATTATAGTAAACAAGAAATATTCAAATATAACAGTGACTGATATCCAACTTTTAAACTATTCTCTGAACTTACACAACAATAAAAATATGTGGACAATAGGAAAATATTATACTTTAACATGTGCATAGTTAATCTGAATGTTACATGGAGGAATAGATATATGAGGACAGTGATGTAACTCTGATGTGTTAACATGTGCTGCATTAAAGCATGTCTCAGGGATTTGAAACTTCCTTATAATGGAAACAAACTTTGTTCCTGATTAGTCTGAACCAGCAAGCCAACTTCTATGAATAAATATTGAATTAAATTTTATAAATGATATAGCTGCTCATAAATATGAGCAAGTCTAGAGTGTTTGGAAGAGTCTTCTGACAAATCGCAGAGCGAGTTGATAAGCAAGACATTTTTTGACCTTGAAATATCAGGCCTTACACTGCAACCTACTGGAGGCTGAGTGGAAGTGCAACTGACTAGAAAATTGGATTAATTTCTTTAAACTAGTGTTGTGCAATGAAATGGACAACTCTCAGGCTGTTCACAGGCAAGAACCTGCATCCTACCAAAGCATCACTTGCATCTCTCCACTATTCCACCAGCTCCTCCATGTCCTTCCCCACTGCAATTCAGTTTTCCCCATAGTGCTTTAATATTTATAGTTAGCAATTTCAGGAAACTTACCGTATAATTTCATGTTTCTTGAGAAACGTAAGTTCCTGCAAAAACAACAGAGTAACAACGAATTAAGATTAGGATGTGCCTCAACAAATCTTTCAGTTTTTTTCAGCTGAAAGATAACAACTAATGTCTACATTTTCTAGAATTAAGATGTTG